TGAGGCCAGCCAGTGTCCTGGGTTCTTCCCCGACGTTCTTCCTACTGCCTCTCTGTGGCTTCTGTTTGTAAAGAGAAGATTGCTTCTCCTCACTCCTTTCACACACTCTTGGGGCTATTTCGGTGAATTATATCCACCTTTATGTATTTCTCATTTAAAAGAAAACCCACTCTATGGCATAATGGTTTCCAGTGCCCTGCTGTTTGGAAGAATGTTTTACCTGCCTGTCAGTGCTGAGCTTTGAGCTCCCTGAAGAAGGATGTTCCCATGGCTTGGCCCATCCAGGCAGAACCAGCTGAGCTGGCCAAGTGGTTTCTCTGTATCATTTGCCTGTCAGATAAGGGTCACCTGCTTATTGATGGGCACAGTGACCCTTAAGTCCAAACAGCCTTCCTAATGACACAGAACTTCATCTTAAAGGATGTCGGGGAATTGATTTTGCTCTTCTTTAGGAACAAAAGGTGTCAGACATTAGAAGGAACTGAACAGTCAGGAAAACATAAGTCTCTATACCTTCCCATCACCCCATCCCTGACCCAGAAGCCACGATCTACCAGTGGAGGATAAATCTAACCAAACCCGTGGGAGAAAGGGGGAGAGCGCTGCACAGCAAGACAGCAGCATTCACTGGGAAGAAATAAATCATGAGATGGTTGAGAATCTGATTATCTGGATCAATTTCTCTGCATCCTCCTCTGCCCTTTTAGGCCTGTGCTAAACTTTCCCTTCGATACAAATGGTATTAAGTGCCTTGTGTCTGAAAAGGTTGTTGGCAGGCTTTGGGTGAAGACACAAAGATGAATCTTTGTTCCCTTGTCTATAAAATGGGGATACAATAATCTACCTCCTGTGAGAATTCAGTGAGTTTATAAGGTAAAGCTCTTAGAGCAGCACCCGGCCCAGAGTGGATACTCAACTCATGTTAACTAAGAAAATGAAAATGAAAACCCAACTATAATCTCTGCCTAAACAAAGGCTTTGAATCTAAGGGGGCAGATGAGAGGCTATGTATATATATCTCTGTTCTGTATTTTTAATCAACTACTAAGGCCATAGACAAAGAGTTGCCCCTTTTGTAAGGTAAAATGTATTATACTCATTGTCCAGCAAGGAATAAATGAATTAAAAATACTAGAGCCAAAAGGTTAAGAATTTGGAGTGTACCAGGTGGTACTGAGACTAAAAGCTTTCTTTGGGTGCCAGGTTCAGCTCAAGACTTAATGGGTTGTGTAGTGTAAGGGGCCAACTCCAGACTCCACTGGAGCTCACCCTGGGATCCACAGCAAACAAAGTAGCAACCTTGGCATATGGCGCTAGGAGAAGTAAAGTTCCTAGGATCAGCCCGTCTCTGGGCCACTCCCTGGGTTCACGCCTCTGAACATTACCTTCCAGGAGCTGCCCTCATGGATGAACCTAATAGTCACACTACTCAGAGAAGGGTTGTAAACAAGTTTTTCTAAATGTCTGAGAAATAGAAGATGAACTTTAGAGTGGATAAACTGTGCTGTACATCGGAGTCAGGAAGATGTGAGTAGGAATCCTGGCTTTGCCACTTACTAGCTGTTTGACCTTGGATAAATTGCTTGACCTTTCTGAGTCTCAATTTCAGTGTCTTTATTAAATAACTTTTATGACTAAAGAATCAAATATTTAAAATACCTAGGGCAGTATCGATCATAAAATAGATGTTCAAAAAAGATTTGTAATTATTTTTATCAGTTCCTGAGAGCCCACTTGTAATTTTCATTGGATCTGTACTCTTGGGAATTGTCCAGAAACCATGACAAGGAATTTCAGAGAGCATTATTAGCCGATATTGTAGTGGACTGTGCCCAAGAATCAAATACAACAACACCAAAAATTTGTCTGACACAACAAAGGAACAGACTGCCTAAATAGTATATGTAGTCCCTAAGTTTTTAAATAGATGGGTGGGAATAAGTTGAATATCTTCATTCTTAGAAAGGGTAATTGAGAGATACCCCAATTCTACAATTCACTGATTCTGATTGTCAAGTATTTGTTGTGGCTTCAGAAATTTCTGATAAATGCAATTTTTTCAGAGCCTTGTTGTGTCATAATTTTGCTGTAGAGCAAACCACTTAAAACTTCATGATCTACAAAAATAAGCACTTATTTCTTACTCACGAGCCTACAGGCCAGCTGAGTTTGGCTGATCTAGCAATGGGTTCAGTACCATTTGCTCCAGATGTCTTTCATCTTTCTTGGAATAACAACTATCTGAGGCATGTTTTTCTCATGGTAGGAGGGCAAGAGAAGACAGTAACCGCAGCCATGCAGTACACAGCAAGTCTCTGTTCCTATCATGTTCAATAATACCCCAGTAGCCAGGCAAATCACATGGCCAAACCCAAAAGAGAAGAGGTAGAGTCTGCTCACCATGAGGCCAGGGCAAGTATCCAAGTACCTATTAATACCATGGCACAGTCAGAAATTGGGGGTCAATCATTCCTTCTTCCACACCTGTGATGTTGCAGACTATTCCTGGAGTGCAGTCTCTGTCTGTTAGTTGAGGGGATTGTCATTTTTATCTAGCTGTGACCCTTGATGAATGATGTACCTCTTAGTATGTTGTGGGGCCAACATAAGGAGATAGGACCTCTTTAGTAAATGAGCCTTCTAAGATTCAGTTGTGTGGTGAGATAACTAAACTGAGTGGAGGAAAAAGAAGTCACAGAGCCAGTCCTTCAAATCCAGCCAACGGCAGCAGAGGTGTAAATCATTACCATCTAAGGTCCACTCAGGGGTCTACCTGAATCGAATTATTGGATTCCTTCCAATTCTCAATGATTTTCTGGCCATTTTCATAGAAACCATCAATGTAACTGATACTTCTGGTTTCAAATAATATGCTAGATCAAAAACATAAATTACCTTGAAAATGTGACCATTTTTCTAGGAATAGCTCTCCTTGGCTATCGAATAATACTCAAACTGCTCTCAATTGTTGGGTTGAGTTTAGGAGACAAAAGGCCAGCAGTAACTGAGATTATTAACATGAATTAGGATAAAACCCCCTCTTCAGTTTTCATTTAACAGAATTCAGGTCTTCAGAGAATGACTTTTTTTTTTCTAGCATGACACTCATCTACCCTCTGAAAGGCTGGGAGCTAAGGATTCTTTTTCACTTTTGGTACTTCTTAGAGAAACCCAGAAGAATCCAGTGAGAATGGTTTCCATGCTTGGCTGATTTTCTGGGAATCTTACTGGTAGGCAGAATGGCCCAGGGGTTAGATGCTGTTCTGGGATCTATGGCTAGATTCAAACTTGGCTGCACACATGGGTAGCTGTGTGACTCTGCAAAGGTTGCAAAGGTTATTTAAGCTCTGCAATTGTCACTCATGTTCATCACAGATCTTCAGTTCCCCTTTCCTCCTGGCACCCAGAGGATGGAGTCCCCGGCTCCTTTGTGGTTGGGTGGTGCTATGTGATCAGTTCTGGCCAAAGGATTGTGAGCAAACATGCTTTATGTAACTTCTGGATTATACTGTTTAATACCCAGTGAGAAATTCTCCAGAATTCTCTCTTCTACCACAGTGACCAGCAACATGCAAGGTGACATAACTCCAATGAGCAGAGTTCCCTTATTGACCTGCACTAGACATGTAGCATGAGACAGAAATAACCTTTGTGCTTAGCCATTGACATTTGGGAGGTTATTTGCTACCATAACTTAATCCACCCTACCCTGATTGATGTGCCTCACTAAATCTTCATTTCTTTATATGAAAAAGTGGAGATAATAGTAGAATCTATGTCACAAAGTAATTATGAGGACTAAACAGGATAATGTGTGTATAATACTTAGAATAGTACCTCATACATAATAAATTTTTAACACATTTTGGCTGTTAGTGATGATGATGATGTCATGCCATGCCCTAACTTTGTCTCTAACAAGTTATTAGGCATATGTCTTCGAGTAAATCACTTAACATCAAGTTGCAATAGTGGTATGTTAGAATAAGTGAGCTGTAAGACTCATTTCTAGCCTTATGAGCCTCTATTAAGGACTCATTCAGAGACTCCATCCTGGTGTTTCGAAGATATTTCTATTGGTTAGGAAAATAAAATGTGATAATAGTAAACATTATTTTCTCCCCTTCAGTTGCTCTCCCTTCCCCAAACAAAAAGATCTGTCCTTAATACAGAATTTTTCCTGTACCCTGTTCTGAATATTTCTAATCAGGAAATGACTCTGGCTTGTAAATTATTAGCTAAAAATTGGTTTCCCAATTTAGGCACCTATGCCCTCATCAGTCAATCCTCATTCTCTGTTCTGTTTTCCCCAGTAAGATGTCACAGCCCACTGTGATCTTTTCTCCTGATAGCCTGGTCTTGCCAAAAGAAGATCCTGTCCTTGACCACCTTAGTACAGGCTCAAATAGCTATCCACACATCACCACTTATGACCACTGAGAGCTGTTTTCCAGCTTCTTCAGATCAGAGCTTTCCATGTCTTGTTTTTCTCTCATGTGACTCTAGACGTATACTTCTCTGATCCCAAAGGTAGCCCTGTCTGCAATTCACAATAGCGGCATGTTAATCTATGTCAACATATTAGATTGAACCATAAGAAATTACCTTTGTGGAAGGGGTGGGGGTTGAATGTAGAAATTTCATATGTTTCAACCTATATATAAACCCAATTTGGGAAGGAAGGAGACTGTGATCACATACATATTGAATTATATGTTGGATCCCATCAAGAATTTTAATGTATTTCTTCCTCCATACCTCGTTGAACTGGAAACTTGTTCCAGGACATGACTTAAGCTCTGTATGTATATTTCAGACCTCCCTATACCCAGCATGTGGTAGATAGCAAATACTGATACTGTATTTATTGAGGGATTAGATGGGAACTTTTTCTGATATGTCATTGACGTCCAAGTTTACACATTTGAGCTGTTTAAAAAGGTACCATTTACGATTACATTATGGGAGAAAATAACACTTCTTTTTTGAACCTCTTTCAGATTGAAGACATCATTACAAAGATGCAAGATGACAAGACAGGGGGTGTACCCATCAGAACAGTCAAGAGCTTTCTCTCCAAAATCCCCAGTGTTGTCACAGGTAACACCTCCTTCCGGGGCTGGTAACAATCAGAACTACCAAAGAGTTATAAGTCTAGATTGTGGCCTGATGGGACGTCTGAATGTTTCTTGACTCAGTCTTAGTTCTTAGGTCTAGGAAGAAGCTACTTGTTGCCTATCATTTAGAATGACTTTACCATGACCAGCCCTTCGAGTGCATGTAGATTGAGGCCTCTGGAAATAAATAAGCCCATTGATAAAGTGGCCCATTAGCAACTTTGCCTGTGGGATAAACACAAGCACCGAAATATTAAAGAAATTAAGTTTAAACAGGTTTTTAAGAAAGTGTGTGACAGAGCAAGACTGTGTCTCAAAAAAAAAAAAAAAAAAAAACATGCTAAGTGGATGGGATGGGGAATGAAAGAAGCCTTATTGAACACAGCATGCTAATTATAATAGAGACTCAGTGAAAGATTTTAACAGTGGTATGATATGATATACTTCAGGTTATTAGTTTTGTTTGCTCAGTTACTTTATAAGATCCTTGAGAACGAAGGACATACTTTACATTTTGTTAGCACTAGCCACAGCAGTGACACAGTGCGGTTTATAGATGAGGTACTGAATAACTACACTGACTAATCGTGCAGGAGTAAAAGCATATGATGAATCTAAGGTAACTGGACCAAAAAATGATCCAATTAAAACTTGTACCTAAAAAAAAAAAGAAAGTGTTATGTTCAAATTCTACAAAATTCTTTTATTTTCCTTTTTTTTAACTCACCGTACTTGAAGTCCTGAAAGAGAGGTTTTAAAATATTTTTCATTCCTTGTATTGTGTTTTATGTGTTCATCTTTCTTTTAAAATGTTGTGTTGTGAAATATATCAAACACATGGGCAGTTCAAGAACAATAAACACATCACATCTGTCTACCATCCTGCCTTATAAAGAACATATTATCAATATCTTAGAGACCCCTTGTGCATCTACTGTATTGCATCCACTTCCCTAAACACTGTCTGCTCATATACTAATCAATTCATTGTTTTCTTCATAGTATTACTACCTAGGCATGTATCTTTTGCTATCCAAACAAGTAACCAAATAAATTAAGATAACATTTGAGATAAATCTCTTAATCTGCCTATATGCTTTTCAAAATTCAGTAACCAGAAGGACATAGTTTTCACTATATACATTTTAGAATGGCTAAAAATAAAAATATTGATAGTAGCAAGTGCTGGTGAGGATGTGAAGCAACTGGAACTCTCACATATTGCTAATAGGAATGCAAAATTGTGCAGCTACTTTGGGAAATAGTTTGGCATTTTCTTACAAAGTTAAACATATTATTACCATACGAGCCAGCAGTCCCACTCTTGAGTATTCATCCAAGAGAAATGAAAACTTGTGTTTACCCAAAAACTTGTATGTGTTTATAGCAACTTGTTTTTGAAGTATACTGAAGAATATAGCAATTTTATTCATAATCTCCAAAGACTGAAAAGAAGCCAAACATCCTTCAATGAATGGGGTAAATGGATAAACAAACTGTGGTCTCTCCATACTCAGCAATAAAGCCAGGGAACTGTTGATACCAGCAGCAACCTGGATTAATCTCTAGGTCATTTTTCTGAGTGACAGAAGCCAGTCTCAAAGGTTACATGCTCTGTGCTTTCATGTATACAACATTCTGTACATCACAAAACTACAGTGATAGAGAATAGATCAGTGATTTTCATAGACTGGCAGTTGCAGGGCAAGTGTGGCTACAAAAAACAGCAAGAGGGAGTTTTATAAGACCATAGAACATTTCCATGTACTGATTGTGGTGATGGAAACATGACTGTCTCTGCAGGCCAAAATTCATGGAACAGGCTGGGCATGATGGCTCATGCCTGTAGTCTCAGCGCTTTAGGAGGCTGAGTGGGGTGGATCACCTGAGATCAGGAGATTGAAACCACCCTAGCCAACATGGCAAAACGCCAACTTTACTAAAAAATACAAACATTAGTTGGCTGTGGTGGTATGTGTCTGTAGTCCCACCTACTTGGGAGGCTGAGGCAGGAGAATCACTTGAACCTGGGAGAGGTAGAGGCTGCAGTGAGCCAAAATTGTGCCACTACACTCCAGCCTAGGCTTATAGAGCAAGACTCTGTCTCAACAACAACAACAAAAATTCATGGAACAGGATGTGCACGCGCACATGCGCTTGCGCGCGCGCGCACACACACACACACACACACACACACATACACACAGTCAGTATTACTGTATATTAACTTAAAAAATAGACCCAGTTCAAGCACTCATAAGTATCCCAACTCATTATTGAGACTGTCACTGTTTGAACTAAGGTTCTGTCTTACTCAGCTCAGGCTGCTAGAACAAAGCACCTTACACTGGTTGGCTTATAAAGAATAGAAATTTATGTCTCACAGTTCTGGAGGCTGGAAGTCCGAGATCAGTTAGCCATCATGAGTTCTAGTAAGAGCCCATTCCAGGTTGTAGACTGCTGACTTTTGTAGTATCCTCATTTTGTGGAAAGAGCTAGAAAGCTCTCTGGCCTCTCAGTATAAGGTAATAATTCCATTCATGAGGGGTGCTCCTTCATAAACCCCCCAAAGACCTCCTAATGCCATTGGGGATTAGATTTCAACATATAAATTTGGAGGAGACACATTCGGTCCAAAATCGATCCCAAATAGATTTGGGTAATGAAGAATACTTGTATTGTTAGTGTTTTCTAATTTAAAAGTTTATGTAAATGGAATTTTACTATATATATTATACATATATGTATGTAATTTTACTATATCATTTTCACATGGCTAGATTTTGTTCAATAAGGTTGTTTAAGATTTTTGTATCTATTTCATGGGCCACATTGGTCTGTTGTTTTTCTTACCATAGTTGCTGGTTTGGGTATCAAATTTATGCTAGCCTCATAAATGAGCCATGAAATATCTCCCTTTTGTTGATATCCTGTCTTTCTTTGAAAACTAATTATCCCTTTAATCCAGGTTTTAGGTATGTAATTTCAATTATTTTTTATTTCTAAAATTTCCTCTGGTTCTTTTTACAATATGCTCAGTAGTTCATTTTTTATTTATTCATTTAGATATTTATTGAATATTAACTATTCTCAAAGCATTGTTAAGGACTTGAGATTCAGAAGTAAATGAAACAGATAAAAAATTCTACCCTTGTGGAATTTATATTCTGGTAGAGGAAGAAATAAGTAAGGAAAACTTGCAGAATTTTAGGTAGTGATAAAGGCCAAGGAGAAAAAATAAAATACACAAAAAGGATGGGAAGTTTTGAATGTTGCAATCTTGGAATAGGTATTCAAGGAAGAGCTCCTTGAGAAGATGACATTTGAGTAAAGATGGAAAGGAGATGAGGGATTGAATCATATGGATATTGAAGGAAATAACATCCCAGACAGCCAGAGCTCAGTGCCCAAGTCGGGAGACTTCGTAGAGCATTGAGGATCTGTGAGGAGGAGCCAGGGCAGCTAAAATAGAGTCAAGAAAATAAGGAGAGCAGGGATGACGCCACATGAGAATGGTGAGCTAGATCACTTAGCCTCTTACCACTGCAGGATTTTGCACATGGCCTGACATGCTCTGACTTACCTTTCAATGAGATCACTCTATTGTATTCAGAATTCCCTGGGGGATTGAGGATTTTTGGTGCCAGATAGGAGGCTATTATGAAAATGGTGACTCAGACTAGGTGATATGGTTTGGCTCTGTGTCCCCACCCAAATCTCATCTTAAATTATAATCTCCATATGTCAAGGGAGGGACCTGGTGGTAGATGATTAGATCATGGGAGTGGTTCCCCCATGCTGTTCTCTTGATAGCAAGTGAGTTCACACAAGATCTGATGGTTTAAAAGTGTGGCATTTCCCCTTGCTCTCTCTCTCTCTCCTGCTGTCATGTAAGACATGCCTTGTTTCCCCTCTACCTTCTGCCAGGATTGTAAGTTTCCTAAGGCCTCCCAGCCATCTGAAACTGTGAGTCAATAAATCCTCTTTCCTTTATAAATTAGCCAGTCTTAAAGTATTCTTCATAGCAGTGTGATAATGGCCTAATACACTAAGCTATTAGCACTGGAGATGTGTGAAGTAGTCAGATTCTGATTCAATTCTGAAGGTAGATGATATGGTTTGGCTGTGTCCTCACCCAAATCTCATCTTGAGTTATATAACAGTCCCCATAATTCCCACATATCATGGAAGGGATGGTTACCTCTATGCTGTTCTCATGATAGTGAGTGAGTTCAAACGAGATCTGATGGTTTCATAAGGGGCTTTCCCCCATCTTTGCTCTGCGTTTCTCCTTGCTGCTTTTATGTGAAGAAGGATATATTTGCTTCCCCTTCTGCCATGGATTTTAAGTTTCCTGAGGCCTCCCCAGTCATGTTGGACTATAAGTCAATTAAACCTGTGTCCTTTATAAATCACCCAGTCTTGGGTATGTCTTTATTAGCAACATGAGAATTGATTAATACAGTAAATTGGTACAAGAGAGTGGGGCATGGATGTAAAGGTACTTGAAAATGTGGAAGCTGCCAGGCATGGTGGCTCATGCCTGTAATCTCAGCACTTTGGGAGGCCATGGCAGATGGATCATTTGAGGTCAGGAGTTCAAGTCCAGCCTGGCCAACATAGTGAAACCCCATCTCTACTAAAAATACAAAAATTAGCCAATGGTAGTGGCACACAGCTGTAATCTCAGCTACTTGGGAGGCTGAGGCAGGAGAATCACTTGAGCCTGGGTGGCAGAAGTTGCGGTGAGCTGAGATTGCACCAATTCAGTCTGTGAGACCCTGTCTCAAAAAAAAAAATATGGAAGCGTCTTTGGACTGGGTGACAGGCAGAGGTTAGAACAGTTTGAAGGGCTCAGAAAAATACAAGAAAATGTGGGAAAGTTTGGAACTTCCTAGAGACTTGTTGAATGGCTTTGACCAAAGTACTAATAATTATATGGACAATGAAGTCCAGGCTGAGGTGGTCTCAGATGAAGATGAG